ATGTAAACGAAATAAACTCAGATCCCTTTCTAACGCCATGCACATGTGTCACATCAAAATGAATTAAAGACCCAGTGTCAGATCGGAATCCATAAGGTACATAGAGGAAAATGTAGGCAACGCTTTCCGTGACATTGAAGCCAACCGCATCTTTTAGGATAAAACATTGCTGGCCAGGCAGAGACAAGCAAATGGGACTGCATTAAACTTAAGAAGCTTTCGCACTTCAAAGGTCAGAGTGGCCGTGATGCAACGACAGCCACAGAATGGGAGAGATTCTTTGTTCAACACTTATCTGATAAGGGGCTAATACATCACCAAAAAATATAAGGCACTAGTAGAATTTTACAAGAAAAAAAAAATCTAATCCCATCCAAAAAAAGGGGCCAAAAGATGAACAGGAACCTCCTCAAAGAATAAAAACAAATGGCCAAAAGGCACATGAAAAAATGCTCTATATCACTAATAATTGGGGCACTACAAATCACAATAAAAATGAGATCTTGTTTCAAACCACAGAGACTGGCACATGAAAACGAAAAGAACAACCAGTGCTAATGCAGATGTGAGGAGGAAAGCACTCATTCACTGCTGGTGGGAACGCCGACTGGCCCAGCCTTTTGGGAAAACAATATGGATATTCCTCAAAAAATTAGAAACTGAGCTTGCATGCGAACCAGCAATCCCATTCCGGGGAATATACCCTAGCAGCCCAAAGCACATTGCAGAAAAGCTGTCTGCATTCTGTGTTCATTGCAGCACTGTTCACAGTAGCCAGAATCTGGAAATAATCCAAGTTCCCGAGAACAGATGAATGGATCAAGAAACTGTGGTACATCTACACAGTGGAATACTATGCAACCATTAAGAAAAATGAAGTCATGAAATTTTCTTATACGTGGGTGGACATGGAGAGTATCATGCTGAGTAAAACAGAGTCAGAAGGAGAGTGACACAGAATGATTGCACTCATTTGTGAGACATAAAAAACATAATGCGAGAATAATCCTCAGACCATAGGAACCATAACTAGGAGGAATGGTCTGTGGTAGGAAGCTTGCCATAGTGCGGGGAGGAGGGGAGGCAGTTAGGACAGAGATGGGACTGCGGTGACAGTGATAGTGGGAGATGATCCCTCTGGACAAGAACCGGGCGCTGGAAGGTGGTAAAGGGATGCACACGATACCCTTTCGGGAACCGAATTACGAACCAGAGCCTGAAAGGAAAAGGGGAAAGAGGGAGGGAGGGAGAAGAAAAGTGCCTGTCGGAGGCCGGCTGGGGGTGGGGGCCGGGGGGAGAGAAACGGGACACTGGTGGCAGGAAATGTACAGTAATGAAGGAAGGGTTGGATGCTGGGACTTTCCTAACTGAAACTCGGTCATGAACAACTTTGTAACAACCTCAAGGTGATTCCGTTTTGGTGTTTAGGAGCGTTATATCCCTGTTGACAATTTGATTAAGATTTATAACCTGAGTTTAAAATATTACTTGGTTTAGTGACTCCAGGGTGAGCTACAACCGCCTTCACACACTTTCCTCTATGGAAACTCTTTTGAATCATTTTTAGCGGATTCATAACAAGCAATACAAAACAAATTAGGGCGGGCTTTGGGGGCGGTGGGAGTATTTGTAATAATGGTGGTGGGATTGGTGTTGTAATAATAAATGTAATAATTTACTGTGAACAACTTTATTAAAATAAACTAAATTTTTTTTTAAAAAATCTACTACTTGGGCTAGAGAAAGCAGAGTGGGTAGCAGTGCTGGCCTCGTCAGGGAGCCTGGACTCTGTCCTGCGGTTCTGATAGTCCATGGGCACGGCCAGGCATGAGCCAAAAGTCAAAGTAGTAAAAAAAAAAAAAATTGGTTAATTGTTCCACAAAAGTAGAGTGTGGACTAGAACTTATTTGTAGTGTTTTTCATACGACCTACAGAATAAAGACAGCCCATTTCAGCTGATAAAAAGAACTAGGTTACTTTTTTTGCACATACTTTTTTTTTTTTTTTTTTTTTTTTTTTTTTTGCTTTTTGGGTCACACCCAGCGATGCTTAGGGGCTCATGCACTCAGGAATCACTCCTGGCGGTGCTCAGGGGAACATATGGGATGCTGGGAATCGAACCTGTGTCGGCCATGTTGGCTGCGTGCAAGGCAAACGCCCTACCCGCTGTGCTATCGCTCCAGCCCCTTGCACATACTTTTGAGGGAATATTATATTGACACCAAAATTTTATTTCAGTTCATCAAATTAATACCTCTCCTTCCACCAAAAATCACACCATACTCTTTGCAGTTATAGTTTGATGATAAAAATCTTTATAAGAAAATGAAGAATAGCATGTTACAATGAAAAAACGTAAATATTTTGAAATAAATATGTGAAAATAAAAGATAGTTCACTCTTCAAAAATATGCTCATGTAATTTATTAGCAAACCAGAAGGAAGAGGGGGTGATTAGTGCAGCAAATGTGCTGATACGTGTCTGGAAACAGTTACCAGTTATCTTGCTTCCTGGGGAGAACTGATTACATTAGCCCTCACACTGGGCTGTCCATTATCCCACTAAGACCATCACTGTTTAACAAAGTATCCTTCAAGTCACGCTCACACATCCCCAGCCGGCTTGGAAGAAATGTTGGTTAAAGGGCCAGAGAGACATTGCAGCAGGTGGGCGCTTGCCTGGCACTGGCCAACCTCTTGCACCCTGAGCCTTGCACAGCCAGTCGTGCTCAAAAACTAAAACTAAAACACTGGTAAGTTAGGCGGTTGTGTTATTATGTACAAATGATATGCCTGTTTAACCGGAGAAACCAGGCTTCCCGAGTGCAAAGCCAAGAGTAACTTCCCTCTGAGCACGGCTGGACGTGTTTGGGGCTGGAGAGATGGTGCCCTGGGGAGGGCCCTTGCCCTGCACACAGCTGACCGGGGTTCGCTCCCCCATCCCACATGGTGCCCTGAGTACTGAGTGACTCCAAGTTCAGAGCCAGGAGTAGCCCCAAAACCCAGAAAACAAATGTCTGTATAGGTATGTTCATAAACATTATCTTGGACATTTTTGCATAGTTGAAAACTGTAAGATATGGGAAAAAAATAGAAAAGTGGAATTGTTTTCGTTGTTGTTGTTTTTTAATATGGAACTATTAATGAGTAATAGTATGACCATGAATTTGGCCCATTGGTCCCTAAATCTCAGTTGAGGGTAGAACATCAGCTCTGTTTTGCTCACGGCGAGAGCTCATGCTAAGTGTGTCCCGAATGACCTGTAAGTGGATCGAGGGGTGGGCAACGTCTGTTTGTATTTCCCAGCTCCTCCTAGTGAACTTCCTCACATACGTGTTTGTAGTAGACCTGCAGTATAGCAAGTCTTTGTAACAAGACACTGTCTGAGATTCTTGAAATATATAAAAAGTATTCTAAATATAAGTTATAAATCACGTTTGTTTGTTTTGTTTTTTATACCTAGGCGCTTTTCAAAAGGAGAAAAGGAAAATAAGAAAACTTAGTATCTGGAACAAAAGGAAAATACGAATGTACTTCCAATCTAGGAACGTTAAAAAGTCTCAGTTAACAGAAAGAAAAATGTGCCTCACCCGTGTGTTTCGCGTTGATTTTTCCCCCTCTCCATTTCAGTAGCTGCTGTTAGCTCAGTGCCTCGTGATTCTTTGCTGACCGCATTGTAGAGACTTTAAACAGTTTCCCCATTGGCCTCCCTCCCTCTAATCCCTGCCGCAGGTTGATTTTCCTGAAGCACAGCTATCTCAGAACTTGTCCTTGAAGGCTGGACAAAAGTGGCCTCGTTCACCACCCTTGGAATTAGTAGTTGAATTGTGAATATAGATGGGATTCCGATGACTTCGTCCTTACTGCTTTAAAGTGAGGTGATGGCGCTGGAGAGATCGTACCACAGCAGGGCGCTTGCTTTGTATGCTGCCCAGGCTCGATCCCCAGTACCCCATGTGGTCCCCCAAGCCCCACCAGGAGTGATTCCTGAGCACAGCGCTAGGAGTAAGCCTTGAGTACCACCAGGAATGGCCCCCAAACCCAAAACACGTAAATAAAATGATGGTGATGCTAATATTGATATGTGGAGTTTTTCTAACTAAAGCTGGTAATTGATGCTAAATGCCACTTATTCGGTGCCTGAAAGTCGTCCTGATTGTTCACCAACGCAGAAGCAGTATAATCACCTCTATTGAGGCATTACATGTGGCTTATGTGTATTTTCTCTGGTAAAACTCTTATGTGATAATTTCCCCCACGTATCTAGTTCAGCAGTTCCCATATTCTAGTATTAAATGAACAAATGCCTTTAAACTATTAAGTAAAAGTAGGATTTTGGTTTGAGAAAGAAGGATGTGTGTTTTGGCTTGAGTTGATAACTAAGATGTTGGCAGAGGATGATTTTGACTGCTGGAGATTGAGAAAGAAACTTTTTAAAGAAAAAAAAACGTTTCTTTTCTGGAGCTGGAGATAGAGTACAGGGCCTGGAGAGATAGTACAGCGGGGGCGGAGGGTGGGGGCGTTTGACTTGCACACGGCCAAAGTGGATCTGATACCCAGCATCCCACATGGACCCCTGAGCACCACCAGGAGCAGTTCCTGAGTGCAGCAGAGCCAGGACTAACCCCTGAGCATCGCCGGGTGTGACCCAAAAAAGCCAAAAAAAAAAAAGAGTTAGAGTACAGCAGGTTCGGGCTCTGGCGTCCCGCATGGTCCCTGAAGCCCCAGGAGTGATCCCTGAGCATAGAGCCAGATGTAAGCCCTGAGCACCGCCAGGTGTAGCCCAAAAACAAACCCAGAAAAATAAAGTTAATTTTCCTCTGGAGAGACCGTTTGCCCCAGGTATCAGCCGTTCAGAGCTTCTCTGTTTCTCTGAGCGATGGTTCCTGGCGTTGATGGGCTGCGGTTCGGCTGGGGGGCTGGGAGGGCTGGTTTGAGGGCGTCGCGCCAGAACCCCCCTCTCCCCTGGCCGCTCAGCCTTCCCCCTTTGTGTTTCCCAGACCTGCTAAGCCCCTTAAAGAAATGGAAGTCGCGCTACCTGATGGAGCAGAACGTCACCAAGTTACTGCAGCCTCTCTCTCCCGTCACGCCGCCCCCTCCGAACGCCGACTCCAAGAGCCCCCAGCGGAGCAGGCCTGGCCCGGCCCACCCCGGGGAGGACGAGTGTCGCAACGGCTACAGCCTCCTGTTCTCGCCCGTGGCCTCGCTGACCACCGCCAGCCGCTGCAACACGCCTCTGCAGTTCGAGGTGATTTGGGCTTGGTTGTCGGGAGTGCTGGATCCGGAAGTCATCGTGTGCCTCCTCATCCCCCGTTGGACGGCATTTGCTCTGGGTCGTTGGGAACCTGTCGCGCCCCGATAGAGCGTTCCTCCCTCGCACAGGGCCAGCGGGTCGGGGCTGCCGGAGCTCTGCTGCCTGCTGGCCACGGCTCTCTGTCAGACAGGCTCTGGGCACTGCCCCACAGCACACGTGGTGCCCCGCGCCCAGCCACACGGCCCAGGCGCTGCCAGGAGTCTCCTGGCGCCCGCCCGAGGCCCAGGTGTGCAGCCCGTGCCTTCCGTTCTAGGACTTAAGTCAGGGACGTGTCTTCCCCTGTTGCTCTTTCTTGTTCTTCCTCCTGGTGTCCTTAGGCATTAGCATGCATTGGGCCATCGTTTATGGGAGATCTTTTTCTCTATATATATTGGGGGGGGGGGGGGGTTGGGTTTTGGGATTTTTTGTAATAGTATGTTAGGAATGAGAAGTAGAAAGCAGGTGGAAACATGTTATAAAAGGCTGTTCCAGCCTTAGGTGAAGCTCAGGATTGGAGCATGGGCTCAACGCAGGCCCCTGTGTCCAGCCCTCGCTGTATGGTCCCCAGCGCAGCCCCCTGTGTCCAGTCCCTGCATTTAGTGTTCCCCCAGAGCAGTTCCAGACGCGGCCAAAAACGTCACTGAAAAAGAAACTTTATTATAGTCACCGGATTACTACTTCAAAAAGTAATTCTGATTAAGTTTCAGTGACAGCACATTTGATGAATAGAATATATGTGAGGGTTTTGTTTGTTTTATTGAACGTTTGAGTTGTAATTAAATCTGTTTCTTCCTTCATGGGAAAATACTGGCTTCTGGCCTGTAAACAGCTTTGCTCCTGGTTTGCATTTCTCTCCGTTTTCTTGGAAAAACGGGAGTGTTCCATCCAGTGCACCCCCCCCCCCCTTGTAGTATTATGAGACCAAGAGAATGTCGTCAAGTGCCTGGCCTCAGGCACTCACACCGCCGAAAGCGGTGGCTGTCTCGGCCAGGCAGCAGCCTTGTAGAGCATCTCTGGGCTGGGGGTCGGAGCTGGCTTCGTTGGCTTCCTAGGGGTCACTCGACCACACTCCCGTGTCGTGCCCTTTAGCCAGACAGTAGTGCTGCTGGTTTGGGCCTCGCTGCCGATGCAGGGGCCTTTCACCCAGCAGGCAGTCAGTGAAAGGACCTTCCCCCAAGGGCCCTTGCGTTCCCGCTGTAGGTTACGAGATGGGGCTTCAGAGTGTATGGATAAAGGTGAATTGGAGTTGAGGGGCTAGTGACCCTCTCGAACAGCCCAGTTTCGTTCCCCTTAGACTCTTTCTAGCATTTTGGATAACAGTAGAACTCCATACAAACTGAAACAATACTTTCTTGATAAAGGGAAGATCAGAAATCATCCCGGTAGCGCAGAGTCGAACATGATGGCAGCCGGTCAGGTCAGCAGGGCAAGGGGCCTTCGCATTAGGAAGCCCCGCCCCTTCAGCGGTCCCAGGCCGGGGGAGGGGTCGTGAGCGCGCGCTCACCCTGTGGGGCCCAGATTCCGTCCCTGAGCACCTCCAGGTGTGACCAGAATTAAACCTGTTTACTGTTTTATTCTTGTCATCTAAGGAAAGTCGACTGTTATTAAGATTTGACCATGCCCTCCCTCCATTTGAGCATAAGGAAGTGAGATCCCTTTTTTCCATTCAAGACTATGAGGCAGATCTCGGAAAGCTGTGTCACAGATAACGCTCATCTTCCCGGGGGAGGAATATTTGTGAAGAAAGGCAAAGCGAGAGATCTCTCTCGTGGCGCGGGAGGAGTAGAGAGTAGCAGGGACCAGCGGTGAGCTGCTGGGTGGGGCCAGAAGCAGAGCTCGGGGCGTGCGTAGCACAGCCTCTCCTTGGCACCAGTGACCCTCCCCTCCCCGCGTGTTCAGTGAACGGCAGCGGCCCGAGGGGTCTCCCACCCAGGCACAGGCAGTAACTGGATCTGCCCCGACATGCTGTCTCCATCATCCTGCACCATCAGAGCCCGCTGCCCAGTGTCTGTTGACCACAGGGCGGCTGCTTCATTTTCGGACACAGAGCCTCCAAGCATGCGAATGGGATCAGAGAACACTGTGAGGGGCGGACAGATTCGGTGTCATCTTGCCCAGGACCATCTGGTCTGTGAGCTGGAGTGTCCGTCAGTCATTTCTCCCGTGACTCGTCCTGAGGAGCTCAGCCGAGCACACTCTCAGTGCAGGGCGCAGGGCCAGGGCCAGCTGGGCCTTTTCCCCCAAAGAAGGACCCAGGTGGCCCCCAGCGTGCTAAGCAGAGCTGGAGCAGGTCGAGCCGCGGGGCTGGGGTAGCGCGAGTGCAGGGAAGGGCCCTCGGAAGGCGTCGAGGCCGGGCGTCCCTCTAACACCTGTCGGCCACTAAACTCTCACCTGAAATAAAAGTGGAATGGCACGAGGTTCCCTGTCGCTTCACTGACAGCCACTTGATGCTCACGCCAAGCATGCAGTCATAACAAGTTTACCCTTGAATGCTTCCGGAGACGCCCGGAAGCATGTTCAAAGTCATTCTCTTCGCTGAGATGAGTTCTGCGATTAAACGTTTCCCTTGCACATCTTTGTTCTTCCCCCGACCCACCCCGCGCCCCCACCCCCCCACCAAAGAAAAAGTGCCGGCTAACAACCTATGCTTGCTTTGCTTTTATTTTTTGTTTGTTTTGTTTTGCTTCTTGAGTAGATGAGTAACAAGATGCTTTTCCCTCCTCTAGAACATATCCTCCCCCGAGAGTTCCCCTGCGAATAGGCCCGAGTCCCTGTCACCCGAGGTAGTTATCACACCATCTCAATGTCACTTGGAATCGGAGAGTGAGTGTGCGGGGAGGCCGGGGGCTGCGTGACTGGGGTGATGGGCTGAGGGGTGACCTGCCGTCACAGCGGAGCGGCCCTTCTCACGGGTGACTGATCTCTCTCAACTCCGGATGTAGGTGGAGGAAGATGAAGCAGCTGTTGGGGGGAGGGGGCTGCTGAGGGGTTCAGGGCCGCAATCCAGAAGCCTAGAAGCCACGTGGGAGGGAGGCTGGAGGTAGAGCCCAGGGCCTGAGGCTGTCGGGAACGGGAGCCGCAGCTTGTCCCTTGGCTGCAGGCGCGGGCTTCACTCCTCAGATGGAGCCGCTGCCGGGCAGGGAGTCTCAGCCTCGCTGTAGTTTGTGTCTGAGTTCACTGGGTGCGCGGGGGAATGGCGTCACCCTGGCCTTGGCGTGTCCGCGCGTCGGCGTGCTGTGGACAAGGAGCTCGTGCCGTGGGCACACCAGGCTCCGGCTTTAAGGAAGCCTGTGAGTCTCTTGGGCGACGAGGCTTAGAAACCAGCGCCACTTCCGCCAGTAAATGATCCTGCACGGCCACTGAGTCCGGCATGTGCATGGATCTGGACGGAACTGAGAAAGTCCCTTCCTCCGGTCCTCGGGGTTTCTGGGCTCTTGAGCTTCGAGGGATCCTCCCAGCCTCGCCTCGAGGCCGGCACGGCGCGCTCTCTGCTCCCCGTCCTCCTTACGAGGCCGCTGCAGGTGGCCCAGCGGGAGAACAGCTTGGCGCTGAGGCGTGACGAAGCCAGACAGGAGCTGAGGCGCGGTGGCGGCCTCTCCCGTCGCTGCCGTCCGCAGTGAGGTGCCTGGGTCACGTTAAGGACAGAGGAAGAAGAATAGCTGTCAGTTTTTAGGAGAAATGACTTCGTACCAAACACGAATGTAGAGCTGGTTGCTTGCTGTCATCGATGCCACTTCGCTTTCCTGAACCCGTAACTTAAGAGCTCGATTTTTCCATCTGCTTCTGTTCCCCCCACCCCCCGCCACCACCTTCCATCGGTCCTAACGTAGTCATGACTAATGCCATAAGCCTCCTGACCGGCCCCGTCTGTCAGCATCCCGGGATTCAGGTGACCCTAACGGGGTGGCCAGTCGCAGTCATGTGGATGCCGTTGAAGGAGACTCGCTCGACCTGTGTAAGGCTCAGAGGCAGGATAGTGGCGCTGGCCAGTTCCCTGATCTGCCACTGTCCGTGTTCTGCCCAGGCAGACGTGGGCGGGAGGCCCGGGGCTCTCAGCACTGTCGGCCGCGTGGACGCGACAGCCGTTAATGACCCTCTCCTCTGCTCTGTCCCCTCTTCCCTTCCGCCTTGTCCTTTCCCCCCTGTCCCATGTCTCCGTTGATTCTTGTTCTTTCAGCTTTGTCACCGGAAAGACCTGGACTTGACAAAAGTGGGCTACCTGGACTCGAACACTAACAGCTGCGCCGACCGGCCCTCCCTCATCAGCGCGGGGCACTCGGACCTGGCTGCACACGGCGCCGCGGCGGACACCGGCTTTCCCAGCAGGAATGCAGGCGACGGGCGGAACTCAGAGCAGGCCTCGTTTCGGACCGAGTTTAACCTGATGTACGCCTACTCCCCGCTGAACGCTATGCCCCGGGCGGACGGGCTGTACCGGGGGTCCCCCCTGCTCGGGGATCGGAAGCCTCTACATCTGGACGGGGGCTATTGCTCCCCTGCCGAGGGCTTTGCCAGCAGATACGAACATGGTTTTATGAAAGACCTCTCCCGCGGATCCATGTCGCCGGGCGGCGACAGGGCTTGTGACGGACTGCCATCCGCACCCCAGAACCCCCCCCAGAGGAAGAAGGTGAGCACTTCTCACTCCAGGCCCTTCTGTGTGTCGGTGCTCAGGGGACCCTATGGGATGCCGGGGATCGAACCCGGGTTGGCTGCATGCAAGGCGAGTGCCCTCCTGGGCCCTTGTGCAGCCTGTGGGTGGGTCAGTTCAATGGCGCTGCTCTCGACGTAGTGAAACAAAGCCGACCGTGGCGCTCTGTGTGAGCTGTTAAGCAGAACTGGGTGGGTTTTGTGACTCTTCAGCAAATTGAAATCCCCACTTGAGTGCTGCTGCACGGGCACGGCCAGGAGGGGGCGGGGTGCTGGGCGTCTGTCACGCGCAGTTCCCGTGTGCTGGCTTCTCCCGTCCCCGTCGGCCAATTGTGTGGCTCGCTCTGGTCACAGCCAGCACACCGCAGGGCTGCCGGCCCATCTGCCTTGTGCCCTTGTGCTCCCTGGGCTTCCTTAATGGCTCTGGTAGCTGCGGGGAGGGGGGGTGGCATTGTCTGAGCATCGCTTGGTTACCATGGCAATGCATGTTCCAGAGTACCTCAAGGAAGGAGACTGGTATCACGCGTCTCCAACAGAAGCTGAGCGATTCTTGCATGTAGGAGCAGAGCAGGCAGGGTGGGCACCCCCCACTCCCACTCCCTGGTGGCAGGCAGGGCATTTGCCTTGCACACGACAGCCCAGGTTTGATTCCCAGCACCCCTTAGAGTCCCACCTGGCGCTGCCGGGAGTGACTGAGCACGACCAGCTGGTACCCAAAAACCAAGACAGAAAAACACATTTGAATTGGCTTTGAAGACAGTTGTGTGGACAGCAGCAACCAGAAGGGAAAAACAACATTGGGGTTTTTTTTTTTGTTTGTCTTTGTGGGGGGGGGGGGGGTGTTCGTTTGTTTTTCATTTATCTCGTGCAGAAGAGATTAAAATCGTGGTTTGTTTCAGAAAAATTGTTGCCAAATTCTGTGTTTCATATTAAAGCGAAAAAGCCAAATTAGCACGGCCTTTGCCCTAGCAGAGTTTCAGGCTAGTTGGGAACAAGCAAAATATTGTACCGGGAAGACGGTCGGAGTGGGTCGTGGGGGGCAGAGTCGCACACTCAGCGCGACTGGGAAGAGCCGGGAAGGGAAGGAGCCGGAGGACGGCGGCCGCCCGGTGAGCATTAGGAAGGGGAGGCGGAGAAGTGATGAGTGGAGACGTTTCCAAACATTGCTTTCTTAGAACTAGCTTGCCGAGATATAAACAGGTAACTGTTTGTTTCTTTCCCTCGTTTTCCTATCTATAGGACAAACGGTGCTCTCTGATCTGCACAACACACGAGGGGTCGTGGGGCGGCGGGGGGCGTCCCCAGGCGTCCCCAGGGCAGCGGTCGGGGCGTTGGTGCCTGGCTCCCCCGCGCGGCCCGCCAGAGCCCGTCGTCCCTCCTGAATGGCGCTGTCTGGCTCCCTCTAGGTGTCCCTGCTAGAGTATCGCAAGCGGAAACAGGAAGCCAAGGAGAACTCCGCGGGAGGGGCCGGCGACTCTGCGCAGAGCCGGAGCAAGTCTGCGGGCGCCGGGCAGGGCGGCAACTCGCTGTCTGACGCCGGCGTGCAGGGCTCCTCGTCCCGAACCCCGTCTTCCCCTCACAAGAAATTCTCCCCGTCTCATTCCTCTATGTCTCACTTGGAGGCCGCGAGCCCGACCGATTCCAGAGGCTCGTCGTCTCACTGCAGACCCCAGGAGAGTATCAGCAGCCGCTGGTGAGTGCCCTTCGTGGCCGTGTCTGTGCGTAGGAGCGTGCCGCTGGCGGGGGACCTTCGGCGATGCAGGGTAGCAGCTGCAGAGCCTGGCCCTGGCCTGGCCTGGCCCTGGGCCCGGGTCCTCTGCGTTATTGGCCGAGCCCTAAATGGCCTCTTCTGTTTCCTCACTGTTCCCGAGACGGAACTCAGGCCTTCAGCTGCTTTCGGGGACACCCCTGATCCGTGGTCCTGGCGTTCAGTACGTGGGTCCCGTGAGTGAGTCATGAGAGTGAGAGTGTGGGAGAGAGAAAGAGAGAGTCGGCGAGTGAGAGTGAAAGTGAGAGAATGGACGAGGGAGTGTGAGGGCAGAGCAGTTCCGGACTCCTGAGTGACATCCAGGAGACACGAGATACGAGTCCAGTGAGTGAAGCTCGTGACCGAACAGTTGGTCCGACACTGCCCGGGCCAGGTGGGGCAGGAGCAGCCGCTGCGTGTGTCTCCCTCCGATTAGACTGTCCCCTCGCGACGGCGCCCCTGTGCTCTGTGATCTGTGGGAGCAGCGATTGGGGGCTGTGCGCACCTGGGGGACCCACAGACAACCGAGCAAGACCAAGCGCTTCTTGAGGACCTGGGGGTTGCTCGGCGGGCTGGGCACGTGCTCTCCGTGGGGGAACAAGTCCCAAACCGGGGGTCCTGAGCCACAAGCGCCCCCGGGTGTGGTCCAGCGGTGACTGTGTGCCTCTCTGCAGGCGCTTCGGTGGGCAGGTTCTGGGCGCTCTCTGCGTGCCACCCACTCACAGCCTGTCCCTCCGCAGGATGGTCCCCACGTCAGTAGAGCGGCTCCGAGAAGGCGGGAGCATCCCCAAGGCCCTCCGGAACAGCGTGCGGGTGACCCAAAAGGGAGAGCCGTCGCCCACGTGGGAGAGCACGAGCGCCGAGAAGGACGCAGGTGAGCCCCAGGCCCGGCACACTCGCGGAGCAGCCGCAAGATGTAGCGGTCGCTTTGCTCTCTCGGCTCTGCTACTCATCTGTCACTCGTCTTTCCAAAGCCTGGAAATCTACCTTAAAGGACGAAGAGGAAAGGAGACAAGTCAGGGGCCTGAGAGATAGTACAGCGGGGAGGGCGCTCGCCTTGCATGCGGCTGACCCAGGTTCGATCCCCGGGATCCTATACGGTTCCCCGAGCGCCGCCAGGAGTGATTCCTGAGCGCAGGGCCAGGAGGAGCCCCTGAGCACCGCGGGTGTGACCCAGACCCAAAAGGCCAGATCGGGTGTTTGCAGCTTAGCCCGCAGTGCTCACGCTTCGCCCACTCGGGCCGTCCCCAGAGAGCAGCGGGTGGAGGGGGCGCTGGTGGCTCGCGAGCGGCGGCAGCACTTCTCTGAGTGTCCGTTCCCGGCAGACCCCACAGACGCCGAGGGCCCCGAGAGCCTGAGCTCAGCCCGGGGAGCCGTGTACAGCCCCTCCCGCTACGGCTACCAGGTGAGGGGGCTGCGCGCCGGGTGGGGGCGGGGCGGCGGCGGGGACGGGCTCACGGACGCTCCCCGCCTCTCCGCAGCTGGTGCAGTGCGACAGCCCCCGGACGGACCCCCACAGCCTCCTGCAGCCGGGCTCCTCGCCCTTCCGGGGCCACCCCACCCAGTCTCCAGGGCACAGCTTCCGGACTGCCTCGCTCCGGCCCGGCAACCCCCCGTCCCTCGGCCCCTCCGAGTCCTCCCTGTCCTCCGCGTCCTACTCCAGCCCCGCCCACCCCGTGTCCACAGACTCGGCCCCCTTCGCGGGCACCCCGGGCTACTACAGCAGCCAGCCGCACTCGGGCAGCGGCCTCCCCCGGCGGAGCTGCTCGTCCACCGCTGCTAGCCCGACCCCGCAGGGGCCCCCCGACTCCCCCGCCTCAGACTCCGTCTCTCAGTCCAGCACAGGAACGCCCAGTTCCGCCCCCCACCCCCAGAACTCTCGGGCCTCGCTGCCGTCGGACTTGCGGACTATCAGCGCGCCCGCCGCCCAGCCGGCCCCCCGGGCCCCCGCGGCCGCCAGCTCCCAGCACTACCCGCACCGCGGCGCGGGGGGCCTGCACCCCTACCGGCTGCAGCCGCTCGCGGGCTCCGGCGTCGAGACGCACACAGGCCTCTCCTAGGCGCGGGCACTTGGGCGGGACGAGCCCACAGCTGCTTCCTTCCAGCCGCCGCGAGCCCGGGACGGCCGCCCGCCCGCTCGCTCGCTGCGGGGGCGCCGGGGCCCAGGGCCCGGGGCAGGGGCCGGTCGACAAGAAACAGGACTTGTGCTCGCGGCCGGCGCTGGCCGGGGGAAAGGTGGAGATCTTGTCTGAAGCAGAGACTCTAAAGAAGTGCTCCCTGCTGCGAAGGGCCCCGTGTTGGCAGCCAGTGGTGTTTGGGTTAGTAACGGTTCTAAGTGCAATGAGTCGTGTTGCGCCTGTCTCCCGCCCTTGCCTGTAGCCTGTAGTCACTTGTGCAGTGAGGACATCTTTTTAAATAAATTTTTTTTAATTTTTAAAAAGTTTTCTTTTCAAAGGCAAAAAGCGAAGAGAGCCCATCTCAAAGCCCCAAGCCATCCGCTAGTGTCAGGGTTTTGTGCACTTAAGGAGAAAGGTAGGTATGTGGGTGCCCCGGAACGCTCCCCACCAGTGTCTTAAACCACCAGGCGGCAGGGGGAGCGGAGCTCGGGAAGGGCGCTGGCCCGGGGTGCCTGGCTCTCCGCGGGGCGCGTGGTCACGGCTTGATTTTTCCGGGGCAGAGTCTCCCGGGGGATCCCCACCCCGCACCGGCCGCACCGTTTGCCGGGAGCAGGCGCGAGCCGGGGGAGGCGGGAGGCAAGGCCCACTCCGCCCCGGCCGGCGCGTCTGGGAAACGTTCGGGTGGATTTTTCTGCTCCCCGGGAGGCAGGAGTGGGCGGCCCGCGGCAGGCCGGGCACCGACAGGACTGATTGTGTGATTGCTTTGGGGGCGCTTCTCGGGGCCCCGACACTGAGGCGCGAGCAGCCGCGTCCCCATCAGTGCATTGTGCCTGTGTGGCCCCGCGCAGCCCGGGCGCTACACGACCTTCTTAATTCCATACGGTTGCCAGCTTCCTCCTTTCACTCGTTTACTGTAATCTCCGGCGTGTTTTTATTTATCTAATTTTGTATTCAGTTATAACCATGGTAGGGTAGCAGATGTAAGGCAGGTCGATCCTGGTGCTGCAGCGGACCTTCTTTTCTTTGGGACAAGATAATACTGTGAGTCTCCCTCCTCCCTTCCTTCCCCGGCTCGTTTTCTCCTCCCCGCCCCCCCCAGCCTCCTTCCCCCCTGTCTCCCCCGCCCCACCCCCCTCCTCTCCCTCTCCTCCCCCCAATTCCCCCCGCCCCACCCTCTGCCCATCATATGCACAGTCTTCTCTCTGTGTGTGACTGTTACGAAATTTCACTTTTTCAAAATTGAAATCAGGTGTTTGCTCAATTGAGGGGAGATTTGTTGTTTTTGTTTTTTGTTTTTGTTTTGTTCTGTTTCGTTTTGTTTTAATGAATGCTGAGACCTCAGCGGAGTACTTTGGTTCCCCACAAACCCGTCCGTCTGGGAGAGCTTTGGGAGTGGATTCTGTTGCCTGGGATGCCGGTTTCTTTGTATATTCTCTACAATGGATGTAAATGTCTCCATTCGCTGGGGTTTGCATCTCCCCTGGGCTGCGGCCGGGGAGGGCCAGCGGGCAGGCAGCCCTCACCCTGCCTGCCGCGTGCAGAGCCCCAGCCACTCCGTGTGGGCAGGGTGCTGTCAAGACCAGACCTCTGGGGGGCGGGGCGGGGGGCGGGGGGGCTCTTGGAAGAGAAGAAGCGTCGCTTCTTTCTCAAGTGGAGTGTTTACACCTTGCTGTAACATTTGAACTTTCACAAGAGATGTAATAATTTTGATAATAAAATTCTTAACCATAATAATGATCACATCGAGACTTTCTTTGTCATGTGCACGGCTAGAGGTGCCCTCAGCGGGCTCGGGACTGGGGGTTCACAGTCCTTCGGGCCTTCGTGATTCATGTGGAGCTTGGCACAGACCCTGAGCACCTCTGCGTGCGCCAAAGGACTGCGGCCAGGGAGCAGACCCCGAATTGCTGACGCTTGCACGCGAGGACAGAATGCGCTGAAGAGGGGCTGGAGAGATCGCCTGGCACGCGGCCAAGCCCGGGTTCAAGCCCCAACATCCCATAGGTCCCCTGAGCACTGCCAGGACTAATTCCTCAGTGCAGAGCCAGGAATAAGTCAGAAACTTAAAAAAAAAAAGGGGGGGGGATGAAGGAGCTGGAGCGATAGCACAGCGGGTAGGGCGTTTACCTTGCACGCAGCCAACCCAAGTTGGATTCCCAGCATCCCATATGGTCCCTGAGTACCGCCAGGAGTACATCGCCAGGTGTGACCCAAAAAAGAAGGAAAAAAACTGAAGAGTCAGTGCAACATTAAAATGTCACGTTGTGACATCAAACATGGACTGATGGATGAGGAGCCCAGCGGTGAGCCACACAGCTGGCGGGTCCGTTCCCTCCGCAGAGGAGCTGCGGGCAGAGGAACTCGGCGCGTGGTGATGGGGAAGGGCCCCGCCGTCTCACCCTGGACACGCGATGCAGCTTGAAACCATCCAGCCCCGGAAGGAAACGACAGAGCTCCTGACCGGCGTGAGGATGAAGGGTTTCCATCGCATGCCAGCAGCAGCGTTACCAAGTGATATTCAGGAGTGTCTTTCTTTGCATAGCAACGTAAGCCATAAAATAAAGAATCCACAGACATACGGAAATATGCGCAAATCATACATCCTGTAGCCGATATCCAAAATAACTCATAGCATACATAGAAAAGGTTTTTTTGTTTTTAATTAGGGGTCAGAGAGAGAGCACAGTGGTAAGGCGCTTTGCACGCAGCTGACCTGGGTTCAATCCACAGCGCCACATATGGTCCTCCAGTCCCGGCCAGGAGTCCGTCCTGAGCACCCCCAGACGCAGCCCAAAAGATAAAAGCCTGTCCCTGAGTCTTCACCTCACACTGAAAGAGGCAAAAAATGTAAGAACTGGAGCTGGAGCGACAGCACAGAGGGGAGGGCGTTTGCCTTGCACGCGGCCAACCCGGGTTCGATTCCCAGCATCCCATATGGTCCCCCGAGCACCGCCAGGAGTGATTCCTGAGTGCGTGAGCCAGGAGTAACCCTGAGCATCGCCAGGTGTGACCCAAAAAGCAAAATTAAGAAATGTGAGAACTGTGGGGTGAGAACAGCCGTGGTGGGAAGGGTGATGCCCCTGTAGAGAACGGGCCTTCGGTCCTGCCAACCACTAATAAAAACTGCATGAGCCAGAGATTCTGCTCCTGGGTATTGAATAAAACGGTACCTGCGCCCCATGTTCACTGCTGACGAGTGTCCATTAGCTGATGGACCAATCCAGAATCTGAGAACTGGGGCCACGTCGCCCAGTGGGTGGGTGTTTACTCTCATGCGCCTCGTTCTCTTCAAGCCCCAACACGACATGCGGTCCCCCAAGGCCGCCAGGACTAAGCCCTGAGCACTCCTGGCTGTGGCTCAGAAACTATTATAATCAAGAACTATGTACGCGGTGAAATACTGGACGGACGTGGAAGAAGCCCGTGGCGTGACGTGACTGTCTCTCGGGCCCTCTCTTACGTCAGTGAGACAAACGCCACGTAAGAGATCCGAGGCACCTTTGTTCTGCATCTGCTATTGGATTTGCTCAAGGCTGAGGTTTGGGCTCCTCGACTTGTTCCAGGCGCCTGTTGGTTTGTTTGCAGCCTCCGTCCGGTTCTGCTTGAGGAGAACGTCCCAAGGTGGGCGTGGAGGGGCTCACCTGCATAATCCCACCCTGCAGATGGCTGGACGCCGGCCTTTGAGCGACAGAGGGTCTGTTAGTCCCTCGTTCCACACAGCCCTGTGCTTGTAACACGCAGTAAAGCTGCAGCCCCGTTTGTTGGCTTCCAACGCTGCCTCCAGCCCACTGGTAGACCGAAGTTCCACCATTGATATTTCCTGTTGGCGTGGTGGGGAGGGGCCAGTTTAGCGGCCACACAGCCAGCGGTGCACGGCACCTACTCCTGACTCCTCTCCCCTGTAAGTGCCGGGGAGCAAACCAGGCCCCCCCCCACCTCTTCACTCCCATCCCCACCCCCCACCCCTGAGATCTCTGCAGCTCCCGGGGTCACAGAGGGACTCATGGTTTCTCAACCCGCGGGTGGCGGCTCTGGGTTACACGTGTTCCTGAGGACCTGGGTGGAAGCAGTGCTCTTACACTAACTCGAAGCTTCCCCCGAGCACTAGTAGAAGTGATCCTGAGCACCACTGGGTGTGGCTCAAAAACCAAAACGAATGTGAGGATTTGAACCTCTTGATTGGCGCTTTCTGGGAGGAGTGAACGGGAAGCGTTTTCAGATATTCCTGACTGCGGCAGGAGTAGAGAGAACTCAGATTCCCCTGCGATTCCCAGTGGGACCCTTAACCAGACTCCTTACCAAAACAAAGCTCCGAGTTACCGGGGGCCTGAGAGAGCGGCCACACGCTGCTGACCCAGGTTTCATCCCCAGCACCCCAAGGGCCCGCCAGGAGTGATCCCGAGTACAGAGCCAGGAGGAAGCCCTGAGCACCCCTGGGTGGGGGTTGGTGGGAGGTGAGAGGTGCTGAGCCAGCCAAAGGCCTTCAGTCCCCAGCTAGGCCAACCCTGGAGACCTGTGCCTGGCTGGTCATCTATGCACAAATTCCTAAGTATAAATCTTCAAGATTTCTTTAAGAAAGCAAGCCTGTTCCTGGTAAGTGCATTTGGTGATCCCAGGTACATATTCTCACGAATCTGTCATCACAGGGCGGCAGCAAACAGCTTTCAGTGTAGCTCCAGCCTATTCGTTTGGCCCTAGCGCCTCAATTTAAACCCTCCCTGGCAGTCTTTGGAACGTCTGGATTTGCTGTGCTTATCTGTTGAGTTCATGGTCATGTGCTTAACTTGGTCACATGACCTGAAGGAGATTGAAAAGCGGAGCAAGGTGGGCTTTCCTGACTTGTTAAGACAATCCAGCAGGTAAATTGGAGGCCACAAAGCATAATCTATGACAAATTTCAGATAGACCTGGAAGATGAAAATGGTGTTAAGAACAGTGGGGTGCGAGAGTCCAGCGGG